ACACTGCCGGACGACGAGAGCACCAGCGAGCTCGAACCGGCGGATGCCGAGCCACGCTTTTAGCCCTAGAGCCCATGCAGCGCCACCTCCGGTCGTAGGGTTGATCTACAACAGAGGTCCGGCAGCTGCCACTTCTTTCGACATCGTGATCACCGCGGCGACAGCGTTCAGACAAGTGACCCAGAACACCGCCATCCTCTCGTTCTGGACGACGGAGGAGAGCAGAATGAGGATTGTTCTGTTGTGCCGCCGCAAGCGCAGGAGAGTCGGGCAGGCATGCCAAGTTTGTCGGGCGATGAGAGCGGCAACGAAAGTGAGCTGGCCAATACCGAGCCATCTATGCAGCCGTCCACCAGCCAGGAGCAAGTTAACCTTTAGCACAACATCGGTCGTCATCGACGTCGACGTCGTTGCGATACCGACGAGGAGGAGGACTATTCTCCCATTGCGGGAAGTGACGCCAAGCAAGGCAAGGATGAGGATGTCGTCCGGCCGCCACGAGGGAAGCGCCGCAGGGTAAACACTTCGGCCCCTACAACCCGCAGAATAGCGCCCAAGCGGCAAACACGTTTGCGTTGCACCGACTCCCCATCACTACAGGCTCAACGACCACCGCTAACCCAAGGTCCAAAACGCCGCCAGAGTCAGCGCAGCATTTCCAAGCTGCGATTTTCAAGGGGGTCCGCTTTGGAAGGGAGACAATCGAGGCCGCTTTCGCAAGCTTTGAGGAATGGCCACTTGAAGCGGTCCTCAAGCTCGTTTGGGTGGACGGTGCAGCGACTTTTCAGGTGGAGTTCACGTGGAATCCCCGTACGAATCATGGACGCAATGACCGCGCACCGGAAATCCCGCGGTGCAAGTCACTGGCAGGGAAGACTTCCTCGACGGGGCGCGCTCTCCCTTCAAGAGTTGCCTCTACGGCTGAGGAGGTTCAAGGCGACGAGTATTTTGAGATGGAGGATATTCGGGACTGGAGACAGGGAGAAGAGGGGCGGGAGTACCTGGTCAAGTGGGCAGGGTATGGGCACAACAAGCACAATACTTGGGAACCCGCTGCGCATCTCGAACAATGTCCTGAGATTCTGCAGCAGTTCCAAAAGAAGGGATTCCCTATAACCTCTTGAATGTGAATTTGAGGCTGAATTTAGGGATGGTTGAGGTGATGTGGACCTGGGTATGTCAAATCGCTAGCGAACAGAGCAGATATTCATCTATACTTCATGTGATATTCACACAGGAGGGCCATTTTGTGAGCGCGGAGGAGATGCATTGTGCAGAAGATGGTCTGGAGCACGCCGCATCGGGCCCACACTCTCTAAAGCGGAGCGTGGGGTGGAAAAGACATGCTTGCTCCTTGGCTGGTCACTCCATCTGGTGCGTAGAAGACCTCGCTGATGTTCCCGATATGTCCGTGGTGCGCTGGGTTCATGAGTACCGTTGAACGACTTTTTCGCCGTTCGTCTCACAAATGAAGAGGAAGTACAGAATACTTTACTGCCATTCGTCAATAGCACCGTAGCACCGCCACAGCTCTCTGCCGCTACCTGGGATCGGCGGGCAGCGGGAACAGCGGGATGACCCCGATGGCCTCCCCGGAGGCGGCGGAGGCGGCCCCCTACGCGCTCAGGCGCTCAGGCGCTCAGCAGAGTCATATCTAGTGCGGACAGCCCATTCCTCGTCCGCAGGATCCAACGAGCCCGGAAAGTGCGGGAAAGGCGGAAATAACTGGTTGTGTGTGGCGGGCTTTCTTCTTTGCCCTGTCAGCAAGTCTCGCCGAGCCGAATCTGCAGGGTGACGACGGATAGCATAGGTTCAGTTGACCCATCCACACACTGTACCCATGCACAGTTCCTTCGAGGGAACATGCGGTAGCTGACAAGGCGGGTATTCGGGAGCGCGGCCCACTTACATGTTGGGGCCTCCATGCAACAGCCGCGCTCAGGCCAGTATTGGGCCAGTATTGACAAGATGTTAGCGACCGATCAGCCGGCAAGCTTCATTGTCCAAACCAACCTCGCGGATCGTACCGTCATCTTTACGTATCTTTACGTCAGTGGC